TGGCTTCATTGCATGTTCAGGTGAGCTTGGGGCTCTTAGAAGGGTTCGGCTACGGTTTCTTTGGGTTCTGACGCTAGGTTAACTCGGTGAATTGCGGGCTTATCGCGATGCTAGTGTGCTGCAGGTTCATCGCAACGTTGGGTTTGGTTGTGAGTTGCTTGTGTGTACTTTTGTGGTGTTAATCTTGATGTTTGGCGTTCTAAGGGTCTGAGTGCACGCTACATACCTACAGTTCTTTTACAAAAGCAATTTTTGAAAGTACTTTTATAAAAGTACTTTTACAAAAGCACTTTTATGAAAGAACTTTTACGAAAGTACTTTTATAAAAGAACTTTTACGAAAGTACTTTTATAAAAGCACTTATAAAAAGTATTTTTATAAAAGTACTTTTACGAAAGCATTTTTACAAAAGCACTTCTACGTAAGTACTTAAGTACTTTTCAAAAGCACTTATACGAAAGTACTTTTATGAAATTACTTTTGCAAAAGTGTTTTTTCAATGCCAAAAGAGTATACTTTTGTAATTTTCAGATTTCTTCATTTTAATATATTTTTGTAATTTTTATATATTATGTTTTTTTATATATAATTTTTGATATTTCATTTGATTTGGATTGGATCCAATCCAGTCCATTTACATTTTAATGGATTGGATTGGATTTGGTTTGTATTAGATTTGGAYYGGATTGGGTCCAGTCCAGSCCATTTACATTTTAATGGATTGGATTGGATTTGGTTTGTATTAGATTTGGATTGGATTGGGTCGGGTCCAGTCCATTTGTAAGTGGATTCACATTGAACTGAATCGGGTTAGATCAAATCCAGTACAATTGACACCTCTACTCACTAGTAGTAGTTGACTAATATGCGCGGCGCTTGCTAAGGTTTAACATCTCTTGATCCTCCTCCATCCATTCAAGTCCCTCTCACTAAGAAACTTATTAAATGGCCTCAAGAGATGAATGAGAGTGTTCAAATACGCAAGGAGAAATCCATTCCAAGCATACTTATTACTAAAGAGGTTCATTATACAAGAAAGATATGAGGAGTTTCAATAGGTCGTTAGAGCACTAGAGTTTAAAAAGTTTCAATAAGGAGACCGAGATAGGATAATAAAGTCACTTCTTAATTGAATGTAAATTGGTTGGTTTCTTTGTGTGTAAAAAGTTAGGATGCATCTCACCATTTAGGAGGCACTATAAGAACTTCATATAGAGGCTTGATAGTTTATGAGAAAGGATTCCAAGAATATTAGTAGCACTTAACAGTTCTTATTACAAACCTAGCTCTTAAATAGAAGGTCAAGTTAGATGACTTGGGAAGTGTACATAAAAATGTGAATATTCTTGTGGCCAAAGCTAAGGAATCTTTTTAGAAAAATACTCTCTCCATTGCTTCTCCACCATGATCAAATATTTATTGTTTCAGAAGTAATTAGGGATGAAAAGTGAAATGTTAACACTACCCCTATTCAAAGATGGATGGTTACTTCCATTAGTAAAGAAGAGATCTAATAAAGATCTCTCCTTTGAGGTTGAGGCTTTTACAAATTTTGTTCTTGTGATAGGAATAACCTATGCCTTTCCTATCATGTTTCGGCTTTTGTCTTCAAGGAAATTGATTTAACCTTTTTAGACTTGTTGTGAGATACTCTTGGAGTTATGCATTTTTTGGTTTTTTGAACTCTATTCTTGATACTAGGGCAAAGTCCTAGGTTTTTCTTATTGTTTTCCTGATCCTATAGTCTTCTCTCAGACTTGCTTAATCTTGATTTACTCTTGGAATTATGTATTTCCAAGGATGTCCTCTTTGTCTTCTTTCCAAATCTGACACTCTTTTAATAGTTTCTCATTCCTTGTTTCTCAATTCATCAAATTCAGCTATCAAAGTTGAAATTTAGGAATTTATTTTATTTTTTATGATTATTCTTTTATTAATCATTAATGGTTCTTTTATAATATCAATAAGATCTTCAAAAAAATCAGAACCTTTAATGCCTACTTCTTCTTTCCTTTGAACTTTTCTTCAATTAAGGGAAATTATTTCTAAAATGATTGCCTTCCCTCTTGCATTCAAAGCAACTAGGTTTTTCTATTGGCTTCTTGTAATGCCCTTTTTGCTTTTATTTTTTATTTTTTTTAAGAAGTTCAAGAATCTTCTTGAAATTAAAGCCATTTCTTCTTCATCATCATCATCATTACAGTCTTTGTTTTCTTCCTTTTCCTTAGTAGAACTCTTAAGGGCAAATGCCCTTGCAAGTTTTTTTAACAAGGATATTAGAACAAAGTAAGCATAATTTAATCCCAAAGCAATAACTACAAAATCTATCTGATTGACAAATCGAACATGAGCAGCCATGATTCAAATGTAACCAATATTGAACTTTGAAAAAGAATAAAGCATGAACAATAGAATAAAACAATGGAATGAATGAAGAAATAGTGGACTTCTTTTTGTTTACTAGTTTGAAGCTTTAATAGTTCTATGGACACACTAATAGAGCCTTCCTTGCTCCTATTTAGTTAAGCTTCCCACAAGCTAACTTTAATAAAATCTAAAGACAACCAATGCAGAGATTTAAGAGAGATTTGTTGTAGAACTAAACAAGTTTAAAGATTAAAACATAAAAATCCATATAAAACAATCGATTACTAACCTAACTTAAAACTTCTAGAACATTAAATTCCCAATTCATAGAAAATATGCAAATCACAACTTTTGTGTCTGCATTGCATAAGTCCTTTTTATCTCCACAACATTAACATAAGCATTCAATTATTTGAACATATATACTTTGTCGCAAATGAAACCTCCCTTCACCAATTAGTTGTGTTGGAAACAAATCAACAAATCAGCCTAGCTTGCTTCAATTTTGCTTGATAAAGCTCGTACATCGCATAAGTCCTAACTACTGACTACATGGTTTTGTGTTTTATGGGTTGCAAATGAATCACAAAGAGCGCCTCATTGACTTGCATGTCAGGTAGATTACAAATGTTCCAAAGGTTGGCATCATGGTTTTGAAAATTGGACCAGAAAAACCGGGAATTGTTATTTTCCCAAAATCATTGATTTGGTCAGCAAATCGTTGATTTGGGCAGTCAAACCATTCAATTCATTCAAACCGTTCATCGGTTTGAGCGGTTTTTACTTTTTTATTTATTTTGTCAGAACAGACTTTTCATTCGATTTGAACAGTTGGACCATTTGACCCACAAACTGGACCCCTGACCGATTTGTTGTCCGGGTCGGTTTTAAAAATCTTGGTTGACACAACCTGAAAATGTGGGCCAGTGTCCTCTACATAGTGACTTAAATTAGAAGACAACCCGACCTGATCAAACTTGCAATGAATTTGGGTTGACTCAGGTCAGGTCATGCATTCCCTTCAAATCACCTATTTTCAAATAGATATTGATTTAGATGCTTGAACCATTTAAACCATTTTGAATCATATAATTAAAAACCCTTTTCTTGTAAAAACCATTAATTTGTAAAAGACCACTGACTGGGGAGTTTGAACCATTGACCCGTTTGACCATGGATCAACCCTAACCCAACCAAAAAGCTGACTCAACCTGAAATCTATATCTATGCTACTATTAGAAATACGAAGGAGAGTGTGAAACTTTTGTTTGTCTAAAATATCCCTATTTTTTGAATTTGATCTCTCTCTAAAATATCTCTATTGTTAACTCACATCTTTCATTGAATTATATTCTTGACTAGAAACTCACATCATGTTTCATTGACTAAAATGTCCTTATGTTTTAATTTGGCCCCTCTATAATTGTAATGACATAAAATGTATTTTGAACTGCTTTTTACCTCATTCAATTCTCTCTCATTAAGTCTTATATTTAAATTATTAATACCATTCTCTCTTATCAAATCTTATATTTAAACTATTCTTTTCTCACTAATAAATTCTATTTTTTTTTGCTTTAAATAAATTTTGTTAATTAGATTTATATCCAATGCTTTTGGCAATACAAAACTCATGTTTAAAACCAATCCACAAACGACACCATTCTTCCATCCTTGTGGTGGGTAAGTAATTCGACAACCCAAGTCAAATGGGTCAATACATGATGCCATAGTTAAATAATAAAACTTTTAAAATGGAAATAAATACAAAAAATAAAAAATTATAGAAAACTGGGGTACATCTCTAATATTCCATTTTAATCATATCAAAGGAAAATATGTATGGAAAACAATAATTGTTCTATTGATGTTGAAAATGAAATACAAAATTTAAAACACCCCAAAAAATGAAATTACTTTCTGGTTGTGGGTTAACAACAAGAAATACAGAAATCTAGTAATATTTTATATTAATCATATTAAATAAAATACAAAATATAAAGCCGACCGAAAAGTGAAATTGTTTTCCTATTTGGTAGAGGATCAACAATTTAACATTTTTGATCAAATGTGTTATCCCTTGATATCATAATTAAATAGCAAAAAAGATAAAAACACAAAAAATTACAAAAAAATGCAGAAACTTTGTAGAAAACATTTGGGCACATCTCTAATATTTATTATTAATCATATTAAAGAAAAAGTGTGATAAAAAGGAATTGTTTTTATTGATGATAATAGTGCAATACAACATTCAAAATTTAACCAAAAAGTGAAATTATTTTCTTATTTAGTGAATAGTGGCTGGTTAGGTCAAATATATTAACCCTTGATGACATAATTAAATAATAAAAATTAAGAAAACACAAAAACAAGTTTCAAAAAATGAATGCATTTTGTAGCAATTATTGGAACACATCTCTATATTCATCATAATAAATGGGATAGATGTGAGTTATTTTTATACTAAAAAATATAAAAAATTGTTGAAAATTTTGAAAACATATTATCATCAACCCAAAAAAAATGCCTTGAACCCGAATCGAACCTGACACGACTCGATTGTCAGGTCTACCGATGAAACCCCAGCCAAAAACGACGCTTGGTTGTTCCATAGATAAGCAAGTTGCCAACGGTCAGACACTCAGACTGGCATTCACCGCAGTCCGCAGTGGAAAACCCTTGCCCCGTATCTGCTATCCGGATTTGTCCTTATCCGGATTTGTCCTTACCCGACACCCCAACCCCTTGCTTCCATGGTTCCACTTCCACCAGTGAAGATATCACATCAATGTCTCCGCCGCCGGCTACTTCCTGCCTGAGAAAATTCGCCGCAGTGTTTCTCTCTTCGACAAACAACTAGCGATTTACCCTTTCTAATCCAATCAATACGTTAGCCTCGAGTTGTATCGGTGAGTGAGACTTCTTCTATTTAATACCCTGGTTCTCGTCCACGGCAACTTCCTCACCACCCCGTGACGGGCTACTCCATCCAATTCCTCAACCTCCGGCTGTGTTATTTCATCCATTCAAAAGGCTGTTATGACTTATGTGTTCGTTATCTTCGTTTTCCCTCCGTCCTCTCTCAAAAACATTTAAGTTCTTCTCAACTTCCACCCAAAAGACTGGAAGATTAACGAAGAAAGAATGTCTGCTCTATCTCCAAAACTGCAAGTCCATGAAAGAGCTGAAACAAATTCAATCCCAGATCTTCAGAGTTGGTCTTCATCAAAACAGGGATGCGTTGAACAAGCTCATGGTATTCTGTACAGACCCAAATTCTGGAAATTTACGGTATGCGGAGAGAATCTTCTCTTACATTCAAGAGCCATGTCTCTTTATCTTCAATTTAATGATCAAGACATTTGCAAAGAAGGGTAACTTTCGAAAAGTCCTTTTGCTCTTCAACCGGTTGAGGGAAGACGACTTATCCCCTGATAATTTCACTTACCCCTTTGTCCTTAAGGCAATTGGGTGTTTGCGGGCAGTTTCGGAAGGAAGAAACATCCATGGATTTATTGTGAAAACTGGTTTTGAATTCGATTCCTATGTGAGGAATTCACTTATGGACATGTACGCAGAAATGGGTGACATGGAGACTTTGCGCCGGTTGTTTGAAGAAATGTCACAAAGAGATGCGATTTCCTGGAATGTTTTGATTTCTGGATATGTTAAGAGTGGGAGATTTGACGATGCACTTTCTGTTTTCCAGCAGATGAAACAGCAGAGTTTTGTGAGGCCTGATGAAGCGACGGTAGTCAGCACTCTTTCAGCTTGTGTTGCCTTGGGGAATGTGGAGCTGGGTAAGGAAATTCATCTATATATTGACAGGGAACTTGAATTCACCACTGTTATTCGTAATGCCTTGTTAGATATGTATTCAAAGTGCGGGTATTTAAGTCTGGCTCGTCAAATCTTTGATGAAATGCCGGATAAAAATGTAATTTCTTGGACAAGCATGGTATCTGGGTATGTGAACTGTGGTCAGCTTGATGAGGCTAGAGAGCTCTTTGATAGGACTCCAGTAAGGGATGTTATTCTCTGGACAGCTATGATTAATGGCTATGTGCAGTATAACCAATTTGACAAAGCATTAACTCTGTTTCGGGAGATGCAAATGAAAAGGGTAAAGCCTGATAAATTCACTCTTGTTGCACTCCTTACAGGTTGTGCTCAGCTGGGAGCTCTAGAGCAAGGGAAATGGATCCATGGATACATTGATGAAAATATGGTTACAATTGATGCTATTGTTGGCACTGCTCTTATAGACATGTATGCCAAATGTGGGTGCATAGAGAAATCCATAGAGATTTTTAAGAGAATAGAAGAGAAGGACAGGGCTTCATGGACTGCTATTATCTGTGGGCTTGCTATGAATGGTCAAACAACCAAAGCACTTGAATTATTTTCAGAGATGAAATTGGTTGGTGTGAAGCCAGATGACATCACATTCATTGGTGTTTTGAGTGCTTGTAGTCATGGAGGACTAGTGGAGGAAGGGCGCCGGCACTTTGATTCTATGAGAAAGTTATATCAAATTGAACCTAAATTAGAACATTATGGGTGTTTTATAGACCTGCTTGGGCGTGCTGGACTGTTAAATGAAGCAGAGGAGTTTATAGAAAAGATCCCAAGTGATAATATTGGGATTGTAGTACCACTTTGGGGTGCTTTACTTGGTGCCTGCAGAATCCATGGAAATGTTGAGATGGGTGAGCGTGTAGCTAGACATCTTGATGGGATTGAATCCAATAATTCTGGTGTACATACACTTCTTGCCAATATTTATGCAGCAGCTGATAGATGGGAAGATGTGACCAAGGTAAGAAAGAAGATGAAGGAGCTTGGAATCAAGAAGGTGCCTGGGTGTAGTTTAATTGAGGTGAATGGCATAGTTCATGAGTTTCTTGTTGGAGATACATCACACGAGGAAATGAAAGAAATTTGTTCCACATTGCATCACATGGCCAAACTGTTGCAAGGTTTGGAAGAAAATATGATTGATAGAGAAGATGCAACCCCATTGATGTTGTGATACAAAACCTGTATTTGGGTTTGGAAGTTGGGATATGAGAAATATTTGAGCCCTGTAAGTATTTATTTTTCTAAATGCAAATAAACAAATATTAGAAACCAATATATTTATTTCATTTATCTCCCACACTTGAAATTGTATTTCTTAAGCTATGAAACTTGCAGGTACAGATATTAAGGTTTCTATTGTGAAAAATGCAGATTTCGTGTGTTCCTCTGTTCAAAGATTTGTCATGGCTTGATAACAATGAAGTGGAGAAGGAAAACTGGCCCCATTTTATGAAATCTTGAAAAGAAGAATGGGAGAATATAAAAATTTAGTGTAGCATATTTGAATTATCTAACAAACCCATTTCACAGAACAGTCTTGCTCAATGGATTAATCAGCAACGTGCAGTGGGCCACCATGGGGGTGAGCTCGAGGACGTCATTGGTAAGGCTAGCAACTGTGGTACTGTTCCTGTTGCATTCTATCTCTTTGCAACTATAATTGCTTTAGTAATTGATTTTCATCAAAGTTTTCAGAATTGGGATGAAATCGATTTGGGCACTGCAGGACTTCTACAATTTTATGCTGGATTCAGATATCCGGTTTTTGCAACAGCCATGGTATCATCCAATCCAAGGCGACAATGATGAAGACATACTCAAGATATCTCAACTCCAAGAGGTTTCTTACAGGTAGCAAGGATGGCATTGCTACATTGATGAATGGAGCCATCAAAAAGAAGCTCAAGATCATTCCTAGAGATGGAGAGCAAGTCTTCTTACATTGAAGCAATGTAATTTGAATTTAAGATTATTCCTGTTAATTAATATTCTTTAGTTTCCTAATTCATTTATTTATTCTTAATTTCTTTCCTTTTTTTTCTTGGGATTTTGTTTCTACTTGGAGGTTAGACTCTTTTCATATTTGGTATGTTTGGATTGTTTGCTTCAGATGGGGAGAAAAGTCAGAGTCTATGTTCTCAGCTTTAGAAAGTCACTTCATGAAACCAAGAATAGCTGAGGTATTGCTCCAGCATATAAACCGAAAAGGTGATTTCATGAAACCAAGAATAGCTGAAGTATTTCCATATCTAACTTGTAGTGACACCATTAAAAGATCATATAATTATGGATTACCTTCCAATGAATTAATTCTTAATAAAAAAATTTAGTATACATTAATTGATTTAAAATAGGCATATCAGCAAACTCTTTAGACACAGATGGCCAAGATCCAATTCTACCAATCACATCATGTGGTATTTCAAGAGAACTGCCCGGATACCATGTGATATTTCTGATGCTGTCTTGCTTCTTTTCTGCCTTCTTTGATTCACAAGATTTAGGATTAAGAGCTTTCGATTTATATTTCTATCTACTGAGTATAAATGGACTTATGTCCCAAGCAAAGGTTACGAGTAGTATTAAGGGTACACTCTGGATTGTATACCAATGTGATCTTTTTATTACCTTTGATAATTGTCATGGAGTGGACTAGGATGTCATCCATTGAATTTGAGCAAGATGGGAAAAATGGAGAATTGCATCTAAAGTCATTATGATAGGAGAATTAACATTATGGCTGAAAGGAAAAGTTTATTAAATGAGTGTAGGGCCAGCAATGTCGTATGGCACAAGTGTTATGCAGACAAGGAACATGTCAAAAAATGTGTTTAACAGAAATGCAAAATATTAACATGGATGAGTGGAAAAACTAGAAATAACAGGATAAAAAATAAACTTACTCAAAAGACACTTAGGTGACCAATGAAAAGAAGTGATCCTTTACAAGTTAAAGATTTTAGAATTCTAGAAGAGCCAGGGCGACTAAAAAGGACATGGGTTGAAGTAGTGAGAAAGGACTTAATGCCTCATAATTTAACAATTGATTTTGGTACTGAACAGAGTGGTATAGTGGAGCCGAATTCATATAGCAAATCCTATATAATTGGGACTAGGCTTATATGACTTGAGAAAGGACTTAATGGCTCACAATTTAACAATTGATTTTGGTACTGAACAGAGTGGTATAGTGGAGACGAATTCATGTAGCAAATCCTATATAATTGGGACTAGGCTTAGATGACTTGAGTACTTTGTTTGATACATGATTAGTGTTTCTTATCCACTAAGGAGGTGTTGGCCAATATATATGTTTTTGTTTTATATTGGCAAACACCCCTAAATGTCAAGCCTTTGATTTTCATGGATAATGCCAAGTCCTTCACTCCTGGATTTTTGTTTTGGTTTTGGTGTTTTCTTGAACTTTCTTCACCTCTAGTCAATCTTTGATTTGTCCAACTTGGTTAATAAAATTTAGGGTCCATTTGGTTTGCAGTTGGAATTGGCTGGAATGGATTCTCATTCCCAAGGGAGGGAATGGCAATTCCCTCAAATGGGGCAATGCCCTTCCACCAGTAATGTCGGATTCCGCTCAACCAAAGGAGGAAATTCGAATGGATGATTCTGATTCCAAACCCTTATTCATTCAAACCAAACGGATCTTTAAGGTTTCTCTCTCTACCTAGAACGTTGAGGGCCAGAAAATAATTTACTCTTGAAAAATTTTCCCTTCAAAAGCAAAACTTTGGTATACATGTTTTAAAAAATGATCTTGCTTACCGTCCATCTACCTAATATTTTCACCAATTTTGATGAAATTTGAGATTACTAGATATGCCAAGAGATAAAGCAAAAAGATTGTCTAGAAGTCAATAATAAAATGAAATAATCGTGCAAGGTTACGCAGGAATACAAATTTAATGGTAACGCTGACACTTTACCTATCCGATGTTTTCAATAACTGGACTGCGCTAAGTTGGAACCTCGACCTGTTTAGTCCACAATCCAACCCTATACAAATTACAAAACCAAGATACAAGTGAAGCAGCAATTGAGCCAAAACAGTTCACGAGAGTTGACCCATCCGGTTAATTCTGTCCAGTTCTCGAATCAGCTCGGTTAACCCACCAAACCCAGCCAGTAAGCCCCCCTACTTGATTCCAGTTCAACTAGGATGACATCCAGTCCAGTTAATTGCTGAAACTGTCAAATAGAAAATTAACTAGAGGTTGATCTGATTACAGAAGGCTTACGTTAAAATGATTCTGTCCAATTAATTTAGTTCCGTTTGAATTTCTGGAATTTATTTATTTTTATTTTTTCTTTTACATTAAAATGAATTTCAATATCTCCGACCAAACGTTTCACATTCTAAATTTTCACAATTTCTTATCTCTAAGGCAAATTGTATACTTACTATTTAATTATTGTTTTTAAACCATTTTTATTGTTTTTGACAATTGACTAATTCTATTCCTGTCGTTAGTGTCCGTTAATATTCTATCAAAATCCGTACACATGTGACACCATGTGATGTTTAAAATTTTTTTAAAACCCAATATTACCCTCAGCTCATTCCTTTCAACGCAGCGGCAAACACTCACACCCCCTTCCTCCTTTGACTCTCTCTCTCTCCCCATTGCAAGGCCTATAAGCCAATTCTTCTTTTGGGTCATCAGAGACCGTAAGATTTGTAAAGTTGTATAAGTCCATAAGCCTCTTTAAAACCTTGCTATCTTTCTTTCTTCGTTGGAGCACCGATAGCTTTCTGTCATCGATTTAGAGATGGAAAATATAAACAAAGAAGAAGAGCTCGACTTGCTTTTGGGCGAGATCAAGTGATAACCGATCATATCTCCTCGACTCTCAGCGGGTTCCATTAAAAATTCAATTTGCATGCTCATCGGTCCACTTCAAATTTGTTATTTAAGTTTGACCACTCTCATTTCATTTCCCTAATTCATTGATAATATTCACCGTATTCGTCGCTTAGATTTTCTTCAGTTAAAGCTTCCAAACATGGATTTAGTTACTAAGGCTCAATTTGAAAAGAGCACAAATGCAAATATGTACAGTGCAAGTACATACAAAATAATACCAAAAATAAGGTTTTGCATTCTACATATTTGATTTTGTACTACTTCCAAACTGAACCTAAGGTTCCGTTTGTCGATCTCTGTTCGAGTTTCTCTCCGGTGAGGCTATTTTAGATGTTCAGAAAGCCAGTATTCGACCTCGTTCTTGTCCAATTTCGCTGTTTCTAATTCCATAAATGTAATCCAAACCCTCACTTGTTCGTCTCTTGAGTTGGGCTTTGGTCATCTCGATCCTTCCGCCATTGTTTCTTCTGACCAGTCTTCTTTTCATTCCATTGTTCCCCACAGTTGCGATGGTGTAATCAGAAATCCTGTGAAAAATCCAACCTCGATTGGCCAAGCACTCCTGCATTTGACCTCATTCTTTGCTGTCTTTAGCGAGATCAAGGAATCCCAAACTCAACTTCTTTTATTCCTCTCAATTCTTCATCGATTGCCTCGATTTCCCGCATCCGTGCATCGTCGGATGTGTCTTCCTGTATCGTTCCTTTTTCTACCTTCAGTGTTAGATTGCTTTGTGAACGGACCAAAGACATTCCTAGCATTAAGCTCCCCATCTCCTTCCTTTTTCTACTTGCATTTGCCCTTTCAGTAGATGCAACAAAAATACAAGCGATTTATATCGATTGAGGCTTCAAGATGATGTTATGGGGAAAACGATCGCGTTTATGGAGTAAACTACCATGGTAGATTGATGAAGATGAGAAATGGAGAGAAATATGTGCTAGAGATAACCACATGGCATCCACGTCATCAGTTGGATAACACTAGTCAATAGTTATCTGTATATTTAATAACACCAGATAATTATTATCTTGTTATACTTATTAGTTATCTGTACATTTAATTTTGAACTTTTGAATTCTTTACATCTGTATATAAATCTCTATAAACTCGGTAAATATCAATTGAACAATTCCCTTCTTCAATTAAGTCTCGTATGGTATTAGAGATATAGAAGACTAGTGTCATGTCTACCCAAATCTCTTCGATCAACTCTCAAGGTGAGTCCTCATCCATAACTAATGGATTGGTTACTCTGTCCAACTTTATGAATGTTATTACAGTTCGCCTAGATAGATACTACTATCTTCTATGGTCCATGCAAATTCTCCCTGCACTTAATGGGGATCGACTCATTGGATATATTGATGGATCTCTACCATGTCCATCAAAGTATGTTGTTGGTACCAATGATCAACAAGTCACCCTAAATTCACCTCCTGGTATGAACAGGATCAACTCATATTGAGCTGACTTCTTTCTTCACTCACAGAACATGTTCTTTCCCAAGTTGTAGGCTGCAAAACTTCTAAGGAAGTATGAGACTGATTCAGTCACTTATTTTCCTCCACAAACAAATCCAGAATTCATGATTTGAAGCTAGAGCTAGCACACATAAAAAAGGAGACTTGTCAATTGTAGACTACATCTAGAAAATTAAATGCATTTCTGATGCACTTGTTGCTTCTAATTATTTTATATCAGATTCAGATCTTATTCACTATCTTCTTGGTGGTTTACCACCAGAGTATGATACCTTTGTTATCATAGTAACTACCTGATTGGATGATTTGACTATGTTAGATGTGCAAAGTCTGCTTCTTACCTTTGAGAAGCAATTAGCTCGACGTGCTATCTTTATTAATTCTCCTTTTGCTAATATTGCAAGTAAAAAGAGGGATACCACTACATACAACAGAATTCTTACTCAAATAAGCCTCGACAATTGTCTTCTTCCTTTGACAGTAAGAAACATCCTAACAATGGTTCTAAACGACTCAATGGTAAGGATATTTCTGTTATTTGTCAGATTTGTGGATATGTCGGACACATTGTTGCCATTTGCAAGAAATATCTAGAGCTTCTAGGTGCTAAGAAGTTTTACAAAAAGAACCCCAATGTTGCTGCTCTCATTGCCTCTTCTGTTGGTTCTTCTCATGATTCAACTTGGTACCCAGATTCTAGGGTTACGAATCACCTCACTGCAGATCTCAATAACTTATCCTTGCATAATCCATGTAATGGTTCTGATGAAATCACTATTGGTAATGGTATGCATTTACCCATCTTTCACATTGGATATTCCACTATTCATACTTCCTCTGGATCCTTTAATTTACATAACATTTTACATGTGCCTCGGATCACTAAAAATCTCTTG